ATCTTGAAAAAGTCCGGATATCCGGATCCATCCTAGCCCTAGAGGTAGAGACAAAACCTAATTTCCAAAAAATTGCCGAAAATGTACAACTATGAACATACGGCCAATTGCGGAAAGTTTGACAAAACCCTTTTGCTTTAAGTACTTACGACCAAGCCAACTCCACCACCTCCACCACCGTACAACTATGAACATACGACCAAGTGACATGTTGTAATATTGTACTTATATTATATAGTCCAACTTCAATTATATAACCGCAATTTGGCACGTTCATATCATCACGGATGATGATAGCGACACCATTATTATAATCGAACAAAATAAAAAGTATCTTAGAGAGATTAATATGGTGTATATAAAGAGGAAGACACTCAATAGTTTTAACGTACTTCATCACACACTTGCTCACTATAACCACACCCCAAACCCTCTTTCTCATCAATGGGTCTTCTTCACAAACCAAACCTCTCCTTTGTGATACTCCTACTCCTTGGTTTCCTCGCCGTCTCTTACGCTACTAATTGTTCTGATCCTCCCAAAACATCTCCACCCCCGTACACTCCATCACCTCCACCACCGTACGTCAAGCCAACTCCACCACCCCCACCACCGTACGTCAAGCCAACACCACCACCTCCACCACCCTACGTCAAGCCAACTCCACCACCTCCACCACCCTACGTCAAGCCAACTCCACCACCTCCACCACCGTACGTCAATCCAACTCCACCACCTCCACCACCGTACGTCAAGCCAACACCACCACCTCCACCACCGTACGTCAAGCCAACTCCACCTCCACCACCGTACGTAAAGCCAACTCCACCACCTCCACCACCGTACGTCAAGCCAACACCATCACCTCCACCACCGTACGTCAAGCCAACACCACCACCTCCACCTCCGTACGTCAAGCCAACTCCACCACCTCCACCACCCTACGTCAAGCCAACCCCACCACCTCCACCACCACCACCAGCCCCATGTCCTCCTCCACCTCCATCGTACGCACCAACCCCTAAACCGAAGACTTGCTCAATCGACACGCTTAAGCTAGGTGCGTGTGTGGACGTTCTAGGCGGTCTAATTCACATCGGACTAGGGAAAAGCTACGTTAAAGCGACTTGTTGTCCGGTTCTTCGCGGTTTAGTGGATCTTGACGCAGCGATTTGTCTCTGCACCAGTATTAGAGCCAAACTTCTAAACATTGACCTCTTTATTCCCATTGCTCTTGAGCTTCTTATCGACTGTGGTAAGACTCCACCTCGTGACTTCAAGTGTCCTGCTCCACAATAAAGAACTCCTCTCTTGCATTGATATCTCTTGTGTTTCCTAATGAGGTTGGCTCATTAGGTTTTTTCTTTATGCTTTTTGCGATTGTGGGAAAAGGATCTGAATATTGTTATTGCTCTAATAAATCTTAATCAGATTTTTATGTTATTGTAAGGTGATTATGTACGTTGAGATAATATTATTTGAAATTTTTTTTTAAAGCCCAAACATTACGCAGTGGTCAGTACGTAATCAACGAGTACATGTGGTGTGTCCTTGACCC